AAAAAAAAAAAAAAAAAAAAAAAAAATAATGAATAAAACAGATTAAAAAAGCCATAAATTTTGTTGTCTATCAAGTGATTGAGTTAATTATGTGTAATAAATTCTTCACGTGCTTCCATCAAATTTTTTTTTTTTTTAAAAAAAAAATTTTAATTCACGAACCCTCATTAAACATATTATATGAATCGACTTCGGGCCAGAATTAAGATAATTAGAACACCGATCTTTCAAATTGTAAAAGTTCGTTACATAAAACAATCTAGATTTTCTGATTAAACCAAACGTTCGGTATATCGAATTTATACTGTAATATGAAGGAAGAATTTTCTATTTGCAATTTCTGCATGCCAAGACCTGTACGAAATTTAAATTACGCCAAGCCTAAAATAAATTTCCGACAAAGTGATTCACGTATAATTTGTACTGTACATTTATCTTATTTTATCTTTTACCTTATTATGTTTTGAATTTCATTTGCCTACTTTATCAAAAATCACTCATCAAATTAATGCGATAATAACGGAAGAGATATAAATCAACTCACAAACGCAAAAAAAAGGGGGCGTATAAAACATTGATATTGATCATCCTAAATTTTGTCACGAATCAACTTTTATCAATTGTTATCCAAATTTAGATGTACATCCGATATCACTTTTTAAATGAAGAAAATAATTAGGAATGTTACCAATAGAAAGAAATGTTTGAAATATGTCCAATATTTCTTAAACAAACTATATCAAACAAAGTAAAGGATATTACAAAACCATGATCAACAATGATTTTTGAGAACACAATGTTATATATTATAGATAGATAGATATATATATGATACACTGTAGTAATAATTTTACATAAGTTAAATTATGTAATCAAAAACAATTCTGCACATCCTCCTAAAAAAAAAAAAGGTTGGTTTCATTTCAATTAATAAGATCAACATTATACATTTGTGCGACTAACACTTAATTGTTTATATTGGTGTTTTCATCTGGTAATTTTTTAATTTTTCAAAACTTAAAAACAACATTCTAATATTGAACAATAAACAAATGAGCACACAAAAATCACAAAAAGAAATGGAATATGAAAATTTCTTGAAAGAATTTCTTGAAGATTTTTATCATAAAATCGCATATCATAGCAATATTGACGATTTTGAGAATTTTGAAAATAAAATTATCAAATGGATTCGCCTTGCTGACGAAATAATGTACATTGAGTTGATGGTAAATCATCAAAACAAGGATTTATGGTTTTCTAGCATTATTGGATTTTGTTATCAATATGGAATCGGGAAATGTGAAATCGATAAAAGCAAAGCGTTGGACTCATATTTATTGGCTGTTAATATCAAAGATGAAGAAGTTACTAATCATTTAAATGAAACCGATCATAATTATTTTAAAAAATTAAATAGTACCATTGGAAAATATTTGTTAGCATTTTATTACTATAAAGACATTATCGCAAGTAAAAGAAATTCGTTTGATTGGGCTATACAATCCGCAAACGAGGGAATTTCGTCCGCACAATATCAAATAGGAGATTGTTATTATTATGGCAAGGGTGACATTAAAATAAATAGAAAGAAAGCAGTTGAATGGTACATAAAATCAACAGAAGGAGATAACATTATTGCGCAAAACAAATTAGCATTTTGTTATCAAACTGGTATAGGAACCGATAAAAATGAAAAGAAAGCATTTGAACTTTATTTGAAATCTGCTAAAGGTGGGAATTTAAGTGCACAAAATAATTTAGGATTTTGTTATCAACTTGGCATTGGAACTGATAAAAATAAACAGAAAGCATTTGAACGGTATTTAGAATCTGCCAAAGGAGGTAATCCTGATGCGCAATTTCATTTAGGATACTGTTATCAATACGGTGAAGGAATAAATCAAAACGAGAAGAGTGCATTGAAATGGTATCTGAAATCTGCTGAGGGAGGAAATTTATGTGCACAATTTAATTTAGCAAATTGTTATTTGCACGGGATAGGAACGGATAAGGATGAAAAGAAAGCATTTAAATGGCATTTAAAGTCTGCAGAAAAAAGAAACGCGGTTTCACAACATATTATTGGAGATTGTTATTATCATGGTAGAGGAGTGGGTAAAAATGAAAGGATGGCGTATAAATGGTATCTGAAATCCGCCAAGGGAGGGAACACTAGTGCACAATGTAGTTTGGGACAATGCTATAATTTTGGTATGGGGACAAGTAAAGATAAAGAGAAGGCATTCCGATGGTACTTGATATCTGCCGAAGGGGGAAATCATGACGCACAATATAATTTAGGAACATGCTATTATTACGGTATAGGGACCGATAAAGATAAGGAAAAAGCGTTTAGATTGTATTCGAAATCTGCCGAAGGAGGAAATAATGATGCACAATATTGCTTAGGTTATTGTTATCAACATGGCGAAGGAATAGATAAAGATGAGAAGAAAGCATTTCAATGGTATGAAAAATCGGCTAAAGGAGGAAATAAGACTGGACAATATTATTTAGGTAAATGTTATGCAAAAGGAATAGGAACCGTACAGAATAAGAAAAAGGCAAATAAGTGGCATTTAAAATCTGATCTTATTTCTAATTTAAGTTGGCGTTAATTTTAAATATTTTTTATTTATGATTAAAAACATAATGAAAAATTAATTTCACTAGAAACTAGTAGATATATATGAAGCCATATTTGTCTGTCTGCCAACTTTTTAAGAGGGGATCATGATCCTTAGCTAACAAGATTTTGTGTTCATAATTAATAATGCTGAGAAAAATAATTTTCATAACGTTATTATATAAAACTTGCGAGTTAAAAAAATAATATTTATGATCAAGCGATCTACAATCAGAAAACCAATCTTCTAAAGAATTTTTTTTTTTTTTTTTTTGTGCAAATAATGCTTTCTTTAACAAACTATTTAATAAAGTTTGAAACGATTTCGTTCCACGTAAAACTTTGTAACGATCTCTCATTTTTGAAGTATTCTCGATCGAAACGCACATACTAAAACCCTTTTCAATGTTAGAAAATTCGAAATTTATTTATTCTTTTTATTTATAATAAATAATTATACAACGTAATGTTTTGATTTATTTTCTTTTTATTAAAAAATAAAATAAATACTAACTTTATTTAGAAATCAATGGCCGAGGCCCCATTAAGGACAGTTCAATCACGTATATTTAACTTTCAACCAGATTAGAAAGTCTATTTTAGGTTGTGTTTCTAAAAATAGAATATAATCTAATTTTAGTAATGGGAAGAAAAGGTCATAAAAAACAAATAGTCTTTATCGTCAAGAATCAATATGTAAACTAACAAAAATAATTTAATGATCAAAACAGGTTTTACTGCAGAAGAAGAGGCATAAGAACGTCATACAAGTAGCAGATGCAATCTTACCACCATCTTTTTTTTTGCATGCATATGATTTGTAAACAATAAAGTATCGCAGTCTATTTTTATTTCAAGGAGATTTGTCCGTCGCTATTTGTTCGTTTGAAGTTTTTTTTGATCCGACAGAAAATAAAATTTAGTTACGAGGGGTAAAAAATGTGCTCGACAACTTACGCGTGTTCCTTAAATACTCATGCGTAACAGTTTTTTCAAAAGATGTCGCACAAAAGTGTCGTAAGTTGTCATGTGACTAAAATTACGATTCGTTTTAATAATGTTACAATAATGCCCAGCATATGGGACCTTTGCAATAGAAAAGGGGAAACGGCTGGAAAAATAAATAAAATGAGTTAATGCTAAATCTGAACGTATTTTGACCTACAAATCATATTTGGTTTATAAAAGTAAAAAATTGATTTTTTCTGGCAGTTTCCCCCTTTCTATTGCAAAGGTCCCATATGCTCAAAAATCAACCTTTGAAATAAAATTTTGTTCTTTTTTAGTTCTGTTTGAAATAAATATTAATTTCGACACGCGTTCCTTGCCTTTTTCTTTTGATATAACATTATTCGTTTTAACTGGTCGTAAAAAGTTTGTCAGTGATCATTTTTATTTAAAAAAGTGATAATAATACTCAAATAACTCATTAGCTTTTATTAATTATTATTGTTGTCATTACAATTTCAATCCCGATGGTATATAAAAACCAAAGTTACAACTGCGTATATTATCTTTTCCTTTGTGTTGACTTTCTTGGGAGCAAATTTTTGATATACCTTAAACAAACATCGTATTCATTTAATTTTTAATACTGTAGGTTTTAAAGATCTAAAATATAAAGTCCAAGAAAAAAAACTCAAAGAGTGATTGATAATCAGTCAGAATATCACATTATATCCGCATCAAAAGTTCTACTCGCCCCTATTATTTTCTTATCAAAACAATATCTTTTTAAGCCGCATCATTTTTACATAATCGTCCGTCACAAATTAGATTGAAATAGCGAACTAAACCAATTCGCGATGATTTATTTATTGTCAATATAGAAGAAAATGTCAAGATCGATCGCGAATTCTGGAATTGATCACTCCCGCCAAAATCATTTTCTATATAATGCTTCAGGAAAATCATATTCATTGTATTTGCTATGCTGTCATTCTTGAGTAATTTTAAGAACTTAATAATTAGAGTTTACCTATAAATAATCTTTTAATGGAAAAATTTTTAAACTTGATCGGACTTATGAAAATCATTGGTATAATATAACACATAATCGAAAAAATTGTAATTGCATATAACAATGTTAATTTTTCAAATTATAACCGATCAAAGACGGTAAACTTTAATTGTAGTTGATCTCTACCGGCTTTTTAAATGTATATGCTCTACTCTTTACGGAAATGGAAGAATCTAGTTATTGGAATCTCGGAATCTCTGAAAATAGCGATAGCGTCGGAATTTGATCTACTGACACTTTGAATGGTATTAATTATAAATGCGATAATATAAAATTTTAATTCTGCTTGATAAGCTCTATGCACCACTAAAGTAATAAAACATATTTCAATAAAAAATGTAATTAAATAAAAAAAATATAAATAATTTACATACCTCATCATTGCCACCTAATCTTTCGTTATGACAGACAACTTCTTGAAAAGTATCATTTCCAATAGTAAATTGAAAATCATGACTACGTAAAGATTCATTACCATAACTAC